CATTTGAAATGAACCATGCTGGTACTAGGGCCAAACCAATCATCCTCATGTACTTTAATTTCAATTAAAAGAAGAGTTTTTAGCCCCTATAGTAGGCAAAGGTTGTGCTTGGATTGTAGGGAGAGGTACAGTTTTGATAATTTTCTTGCAATTTAGAGGAATTACTTTGGTAATTAGTATGCGCTGTTAATTTGCTTTATAGAGATATTAGATATCAAATAACATATCATAAATCAAATGAAAACATAGTTTCTGTTATTTAAATTGTAATAATAGTCTGCAGCATGGCTGTTAGTGGAAGAGAGGACTTCACTGTTAGTGGTCAATGCTTGAGATTGTTAGAAAGTAGGGAATAAATTTTGCTTATTGTTATCACTGCAGTTAGTTGTACTTTCTTGGTATGCATATTATATTCCTTTCCAGAGCTTAGGGTTATTTAACCCTTTACACCAAAACATCAGTATGCATTCTCTCTATAATGTTCTCTATACATTTCCAAAGGTGCTTGTAAGGAGAATTTGTTTGAAAATCAAGAGCTTCTTTGGTAGGTGTCAATAAGTTTTTTCCTTGTGACCTTACTGAGTGATTCAGGGGTGGAATGGTAAAGAAAAGTAAGATGCTAGTCATCCTAAGGGGTTCAAGAGTAAAATATTTGTTTGGGTGGCAATTCTATGTAAAGATCAAGTGTTCAACAATTAAGAAAAACATGAACAAAAACTTAGAAAGCTGACATAAACCAACCAAACAAAACTGGATAAACTGGAAAGAAATGATAGACCAAAAATGATGGGTAAGTGGGGGAGGGGGGTGAAAAATTCATGCCAGCAGAGATACTTGCCAAATTTCAGTTTGACTGGTGCATTTTGTGGAAAAGAAGTGAAGACCCCGTTACAAAATGCACGACAACAGAACCTTGTCCTTCCTCAATCCTGCATGGAGAGACTAAAGGACTGATCACTTTTTATCTCTTGGGGGACAGGGGCTAAGGGATTTCGGGTGTGTCACCATACATTCTAATCCTCCATATGGCTCTAAAATTCCCATGATGCTCCAATGATTGGCAGTTCATTGGCAGACAATTTCCCATGGTTCCCTCTTTATATTCTATTCTGATCCTGCCTCTGTTCCCCCTGTAATCGATGTGATCCTACTCCCAAACTACTCCACCCGCTCACCCCCTCCCCCCGACTGGCTATAAATAATGTCCCTGAGGGTGATTAATGATTTCAGTCACGTGAACGCGAGTGGCAGCCACAAAAATTTACCTCACTACCTTGTTGGCATATTCTGATCTAATAAATGACCTTCTGCTAAGTTACACGTCTTAAAACACGTATTGAACATTTTCAAAAACAAGAAACTGGGCTTTTCGAAGTGAATCGGTGCTTCTAAAACAGTGTCTGAACAATTTCCATTGAATATCGTGTGACTGAAATTTGATACTATCATATGAAGGGATTTAAAACATTACCCACTCGAACATGGCGTCCATCTGGGCAATCCTCCTGCCCTTGTTTGCTGTCCTAGGACAGTCTGAATCTCGTTCATTCGTCATTGACTACGAAAACGATTGTTTTCTAAAAGACGGCGAGCCATTTCGTTATGTATCCGGAAGCTTTCATTACTTTCGTGTTCCGAGTTTTTACTGGAGAGATCGACTCATGAAGATGAAGGCAGGCGGTTTGAACGCTGTTCAGACTTACGTTGCTTGGAATATTCATGAACCGGTTTATGGACAGTACAACTTTGAAGGAGACGCGGACATCGTGAGTTTTATTGAGCTTGCAAACAGTCTTGGACTTCTTGTCATCGTAAGAGCTGGTCCTTACATTTGCGCCGAGTGGGAGTTTGGGGGTTTTCCAGCTTGGCTGTTGAAAAATACATCAATATCACTGAGGTCAATGGAAAGCAAAGAGTACATCATGGCCGTAGAGAATTGGATGGGAGTTCTTTTACCGCGACTAAAACCGCTTTTGTATGACAACGGAGGCCCAATTATTTCAGTCCAAGTGGAGAATGAATATGGTAGTTTCCCAGCTTGCGACCACGCTTACATGGAACTTCTGGCACAGTTATTCAGGTATTATCTAGGGAACAATGTGATTTTATTTACAGTTGACGGTGACGCAGAATCGTTTTTGCAATGTGGCACGGTATCGTCTCTATATGCAACTGTTGACTTTGGACCTAAAACTAACCCTGAAAGTGCCTTTGCTGTCATGCGCAAATTTTCTCCTAGGGGACCCCTAGTCAACACCGAGTTCTATGCTGGTTGGTTAGATAATTGGGGAAAACCTCACCAGATGAGGTCAGCCACATCTATCGCCAACACACTGGACAAAATCTTGTCTATGAATGCATCTGTAAACTTTTACATGTATGAGGGAGGTACTAATTTTGGTTTTATGAATGGTGCGCAATACAGTGGTTCAGTTCTTCATCCCAATCCCACCAGTTACGACTATGATGCACCCTTAACAGAGGCAGGTGACACCACCACAAAATTCATGATTCTACGTGAAACAATTTCAAAGCATGAAGCCATTCCTGTAATTCCTATCCCAGCTAATACAACCAAGTTTGCATATGGCAAAGTTCAGATGACACAAATCTCAACATTTCTTGATCTTGTGCCCAAGCTTGCTGCTCCATATGGCCCAGTGAATGCAACATTTCCTTTAACCATGGAACAGATTGAACAGAACTATGGGTTTGTTCTGTACAGAACTGAGATTCCAAAGGGATTTGCTCAATCAACTGTTACCCTATCTTTTACCAGTGTAGCCCGTGACAGAGCCATTATCTATGTTGGAAGGGTTCGTCAAGCTACTTTGTACCGCAATCCAAATCAGACAGAGATCACTCTACATATTGGAGAATTCTTGCAGCTTGACATTCTTGTTGAGAATGTTGGGAGAATCAACTATGGACCCTCCATTTGTGATCCGAAAGGAATTGTTGGAAATGTTACAATCAATGGAAACATTCTAACAAATTGGCAAATCTATCCAATAAATTTGGCCAATGTTGTTTCAAACTTGACTTCTCTCCTTCGAAATGAATACAACAACAATGTTCTTGACCCTTTTGCTGCTGATGACTTTGCACCATCTTTTTTTCATGGAGAGATTCCACCAAACCCAAAAGGAAATGCATCTGACACATTTCTTCAGCTTCCAGGGTGGAGCAAAGGACAAGCATTTGTCAATGGATTTAACCTGGGTCGCTACTGGCCTGTAGTTGGTCCTCAGGAGACTTTATTTGTTCCAGCCAGTGTGCTCTCACCAAATCAACAACCCTCCTCTTTGGTTTTACTTGAACTGGATGGTGCTCCTTGTGAATTCCCTTCAAGCTGCTTTGTTGAATTTGTGGCAAGCCCATCTATAAATGGGACAGTTCACCCCATAGACTGAAGTTATGTTTAACCATTATGGGGGGGGGAAGGATCTAAAAAATTTTTAATAGGAGGTTCAAACTTTGATCTTAAAAAAAACACTTCTTTTTAATCTAGAACCTAAATATGCTAAAAATATTCTAGGACAAGTAAATTTTAAATGGAGTAATTAAGTACTATTAACTGAGTTGATAACATAAATTGGCCACAATAAAGAGTTTCAAAGCTCACATTTCAAGCATTAGCCCCCAGAGCAAATGGACAAAGGGCTAACGCTTGAAATGTCAGCTTTGAAACTCTTCATGGTGGCCAGTTTGCGTTATCAACTCAGTTGATAATACTAAATTACCCTGTTCTACTCTCCCACTGATGTATCACCATAGTTTTATTAGAAACTTACCCCTCTCATAAATTTTAAATGGTTCATATTCAGGTAGTGTTAAATGCAATCCTGCCATGATTCCAAGTATTTTGGTGTCACCAAAGAGGTAAAGGAGGCCCTCTATTCTGATAGTTCTTAGTCATGCATATTGCTCTGGGTTTGCAAATCATGTGATCACATTAAAAAGATGACCATAGTTATTACAAAAAGTGATATGTATCACTGTGTTTGAGTTCTTTTGTTGCTAAATCTTGATAGAGATTTCTAGTCTCTGTCACTGGTTGCACAGCCCCTTTTCTTAGTTTTCAGTTTTATATAAAGCCTATTAGTGATTTTTGGGGGGAACATACAGATGCAGATGATGAGTGTGATGCTTTCTGAGTATAAAATTTTCCTTTTAAAAAATGCTTGGATTTAATGATTGGCAGGTTGTAGATACAGGAATTTATTGCTCATGAGAAGTGTTTTACTCAGGATGGTTTTATGCCAGTCATAAATGATTTAAACATTTGAGAATTTTTATAAGGGATTTGTCCTCTTCATTAGTTTTGATAAGTTTATCTAAAACTTTAATTTTTTATTTTTTTCAAGGTTTCCTTACTTCAATAAGACATTTCTAGAATACTCTCACTCTCTTATCCAGAAGTGAGCTGATAATTCTGCTATAGCTTGAACATGACTAAGAAGTGATTTGGGGTACTTTTTTTCATGTAACCATGCAAATCTGGGGAAAACTACTGGTATCAGTGAAAAATAGGAGTGCTCAGGATTGTTTGCATTAATAAACTTTTACACTGAGAGAAAAGAAGCAGGTGTATGTTGATAAATTGGGTTGCATTTATTGACCCATTATGCCGCCAAATGTATGATGTTTCTGTCTGCAACAAGAGTGTCTTAACCATGATCATGACACAAAGTTTTTTTTATTTTTTGTTATTTTGGGTTATTTATGCTACAGGTATTTTGATACTGGAAAGAGAGCAAAGAATTTGGAAACAGCTTGGTTACCTTAAGGAAATGCTCCAGTCCCATGATTTATGTATGTCCAAATAATGGAAAATATAAATTATCTCACTTCTTTAACATGAAGATTCCTTGTCAGCTGATTATCACTGTGACTTGCGACTTCTCAGCACTTTCATAATAGTCCGATAGTACAAGCCCTGTGATTGGCTCAGTGAAAAATCGATCCCAGTCTTGATCGGCTTAGGAGCCATGCGTCGCTGACTTTGACCATTCAATAACGTCCACGCGTTTCATTTGAATTTCTCTCTGCCGTATTTTAGCGGCGTGACTCTTCGATTTTCCTGTCTATCCCCTTTAGATCTCTAAACTATCGAAAACTGTCGGAAATTTTCGGTTATAGCCCCTAATTTATCAGTATGCGGTTAAAACAGATACTCGTGTACTTGGCACTTGTAGTACTTCTTTGTACTTTGTCATCTTGGGCTGCTGACGATGTTGAAGTCGAGGATGAAGAAGATTTGGACAGCGACAGCGAAAGCGAACCAGAAGATCAAGAAAGTATCAAAATTATTGTATAAATGAAGAATCGCTTCTTAAACGTAATTGTCTACCTACGTTTTTACAGGGCAAGGAGAAAAAGAAGGCACCTGAAATTGAACCATACAAACCGCCGGTTATCAGTCTTGAAAATGAAGACTCCGTATTTTTTTCCGAACCTTTTGCAATCCGTGGCGAATTTCAGAACAGGTAAGCAACATTATTTTCAGATGGCGTGTGTTAGATTCATTCTCTGTTGGATATTTGCGGGCCTTTGTTGCAGTTTGCATTAAGCGATCGCCAGCGTGTAAACGCATGACAGGCTGGCTTGCAAAAGGAAGTTTGCACGAGGTCTTGATGTTTATACAGTCAAGTAGTTTTTGTTTTAAAAACTTCTCCCAGAAAATATCCCTCACCTCCTTTGTTGCTTTCTGTACACCTTTGTATTGAAAAAAAAAGTAGCATCTAGGATATTTCTCTTTAGAGTGGCTCGACAAGGTTTTTGATGCGCTATGCATTATGTTTTTTGTCAACTCATCACGCCTAAATTTTTGTCTCGTATTTATTTCCTTATTTGATAAGCAGCACATGTCTTGACTCTGATAACTTGAAAGTTCCGAATCATTTTGTTAGGGAATCTGTAGATAGCAAGTACAGAGATAGCTATGTCGTGAATCCAGCCCAACAGGTGTAAGAACCCTCTGACATTTGCTATGGTTTTAAAGCGTACACAATGGGTTTCACTATTGTAGAATAAGGGAGTGTTCCTCAAAACAAAAACACACGTATAATCAGAAAGCTTATCTAAATTGCAGTAAGAGAGGAAGAAAAAATTTTAGATTTTCCTTAACAAAAAAGTGTGTTGTTGATAAAGTTTATTATCACTTTGCAGAATTTTTTGTAGCAGATGTATCTACAAATATTTATACTGGTGTGGCAATTACCAATGAGATCCATGCAACTCAATGTGTTTCTCAAACAAATAATAAAAGCTGTTTTTGTAGGCAACAGGTTGCAATGTTTGGGCTACTGCTGAGAATCAGGAGTGAAATTTTCTCGACAAAAATTGTTGTAGTTTCTCGAAGCTACCAAGGCATGCCTTAAAACCTCTACACAAAGTACACTATTAGCTTGCATACCCCACCTTCCTTTCTACAAAAACCAAGTTTCCTTTATACTTGTCATAGGCAAAATACCAGTGTCTTTATTCAGTATAAATATCTTCAGGACTCGTTGTTAAACTAGCTGTATTCATATTCCTTTTGAGCCTTTAACAACTCAGCATTAGTGTTTATATTCTCCACACCATCCCTTTATATTTCCTTTAGTGATAGCATGGAGAATTTCTTTGATGATCAGGAGTTTCTTGAATTTGTGATCATTTGCCACATTCTTATAACCTTTATGTTTAACTCAAGGGTGATACTGTAAGGAGAGATTAGAAGTCAGGCCTCTAAGGGTTTAAGTGTAACACACTGGCTCTACATTGTAAAGAGTATGAATGTAGAAAGAAAAATTGACAACTACTGCAGTTGTACTGTAAAAGTTGAATGTTATCAACTCCGTGTCTTAACAAGTGTGTTGTTTGATTTATTGATAATGTCACCCTCCTTGAGAGATGGAGGCCCCTTTAAAAAGCAATCAGAAAAAATTTAAAGTATCATTTGTAACTTGAATAATTATACCTTTAAAGGTTTCTGTAGACTAACCAGTTATGGTAACAAAGTTAAAAAAAAAACATATATGGAGTCTTGACTTTGTTGAATAGTACAGGATGTATAAATTACAAATGAGTTGAGGACAGTTTGTCTGATTTGGTAGTTAATTGTCAAAATTATTTTCTTATTTCTTTGTCCAAGACTGGCAAAGTACCTAGGACAATCCAAGAAAGCTTAAGTTGCTAGCGTGCCATGATAGTAACAATTGTGCTCAATTTTTGATAGTCTCCAGCAAATGCTACTTTTTCTCATAGTTCCTATAATTTTGTCATAACCTTGTGTGAGCTTAAGCAATTTAAAATGCTAACTGAATTGAGCATACACGGTTTTAATAGTTCTTGAGCTTTATTTATGTTTTGCTACCTTATCATTAAAAGATGTATTTTATCTTTGAAACTACAGATGGTTGAAATCTCAAGCCAAGAAAGATGGAGTTGATGTTGAAATTGCCAAATATGATGGTAAGTTGAATTTATTTTTATGGTAAACTAAAGAATTTGAAATACTGACTACTGGAAAATCTGCATGACTCTTTGACTATGAGAGCGACTTTCTCTAATTTTTCCAAGAGATATATACCCTGAATCACACACGAAGGTCATGATAGTAAAGGAAATGATCACTAACTAAAGTAGGTCTTGATTGTTCAACAATCCTCCCTGTCAGCACCTTAGGAAATGTATAGAGAACAGTATGGAGATTAAGAACACAGATGCAAGGGGACAAAGGTTTAGTTGATGGGAAAGAAAAAATCATTGTTTCAATGTCAGTAATATCTCCAAGGCAACACTTAGTTTTAAGAACACTTCATTGTCTAGGGTTGCTTTGTCTATCAAGTGATCTCTCCAAGAGACCCACCACCAGAGAAAAAATGTTTTCCATGAATTGTATATTTAGTCATTTCATTGGGAATGGTTAGTAAACCCAAAACAGGACAGGTTATTGCTAATTAAATGTCCCCATGATATCTTTAGAAGGTGCTTTTGAAGCTGTTTGAAACAAATAAGAGCCCTTCTCTTCTTCCCGTGATGTGATTCCCAGAAAACAGTTAAATGGCAAATATTTCTTTAGTAGATTTTATATCTTTTCTCACTTTTTTTTATTGTTTTAACGATTTTTTTTTTGTGCCATTAATTAACAATTGGTTCATACGTCAGCGTGCGTTCATCGAGATATGAAGCACACGAGAAGTTTGGAGAGCACAAAAGATGTGTAAGAGTTGCTCGAGGTGTAGCCAAGAGCAACTCTAGCTTCTTGAGTGCTCTCCAAACTTTCCAAGTGCTTCATATCTCAATAAATGCACAGCTGACGTATGAACCAATTGTTTTATAACATTTTCAACCCGATAGAAATTTTTTTTCTCAAGGGATTTGTTTGCTGACGTCATGAGCGTGCACAATAGGAATATGAAGCACACTCGCACCATTGAATTTGATTAGACAAATTTACTAGCTATGTTTTAAAACTTGTTGATGTTTCCAGCTATGTATTAAGAATATGAGATGTGCTCCATGTGTTTTTGTGATCTGCAAATTCTTTTTTGTGCCAGGTAACTGTAGCAGACTTTAAATTGTTACTATTTTTCACTTGCACAACAGGTGAATGGTCATTTGAGGAGCCTGCCACCAAGTTATTCAGTGGGGATCTTGGACTTGTTCTTAAGGTGCTTTTCTTTTTGGCAT